ATGGTTAGTTATATGCATGATTTAATCTGCCCTCCCATTATCCTGTTTGCGAGGAGCGCAGAGGCCTGCGATCATCTTTATCCCTCGGGGTGGTGCGATCATACACCCTCTGCACTTTGCAGTCGGTGGTGTCCTTCCGGAGGTCCACAATTCACCCCGATTAAAGAGTCTCTCCAGGCGATGTAAATCAGCGACCAACTTTTAATTTTGGTTAGAAGAAATCAACTTGAGCCTTATGTTTTGTAGCATTTGAGAAAATTGATCAACCAATTGAGCTGCTTGCCGCTTGTGACATTTGGGCAGAATAGCAACATCAACCGTGTAATTAGGTACCTTAGTGTAAACAATATGAAAAGGAGAAGTACCTATCGATCGGTTTGACATGCTGTTGTAGGCGAACTCTGCTTGACTTAATAGCTCATCCCAAAGTCTGGGTTGTTTTTGCACTAAGCATCGCAACGTGTTCCCCAAAGTGTGGTTCACTACTTCGGTCCGTCCATCCATTTGCGAGTGGTAAGCGGAGCTTAAATTAACATCAATTTGGAGCCTCATCCACAATTCATGCCAAAAAATGGCTAATAAATTTAATATCCATGTCAGTGATCAGACTGCATGGATTGCCATGTAAACGGACAATCTCATTAAAAAATATGCGGGCAATGTTAAGGGCGTCGAATGTTTTTTAGCAAGCAAAAAAGTGTGCCATTTTAGAAAATCTATCTAATACCACAATGATGGAATAGTTACATCGCTTTGTCCTAGGAAGCCCAAGGACAAAATCAAGACTAAGATCTTCCCAAATCATCTTTCAACACCTTTATAAGCTTGGCACACCAGGCACCATTCGACAAAGCGAGCAACAACTCTTCACAATTGCGGCAAAAAAAATGTAACTGTAGCTGCTCGAGTGTATTCTCTCGGCCCACATGGGCGGCAAGGCCTCCGCAATGGATTTCTTGAATAATCTACTGATGCCATGATGAATATGGAATACAAAGAGCATTTTGTTTAAATAAATATCAATGTCAAATGGAGTATTGCCCCACAAAATTTTTTCCAAGCATTCAACCCACATTTTTTAGAAGTATTTGTCGAACTCATAGAGGTCCTGAAGGCATTAGAGGCCTGTAATTTTTGTATTAAGTTGAGTTAGGAGATTAAACTTCCTGCTCAGGGCATTGGCGACTCTGTTTTCCGATCTAGACTTGTGTTTGAGAATGAAAGTAAATCTTTGTAAGAATAAGATCCATCATGCGTGCATTCTGTTGAGTGTTTTTTGATTGTTGATATACTGCAATGCCTTATAATCACTGTGTAAAATAACATTTTGATGCAAGAGATAGTGCTCCCATTGCTTGAAAGCACGCACAACGTCATACAACTCTTGATCATAAACACTCCATTTATGGTGAGCGGGCAGAGCTTTTCACTAAAATACTCTATAGGTCTATTTTGCTACATCAAGACGGTGCCAATCCCAGTTGCGGAGGCATCTGTTTTAACAGTGACTGGTTTTTTTAAAGTTTGGAAGTGCAAGTACTGGGGCCAAAGAAAGTGCAGCCTTGACAGCTTTGAAACTGGTCTGTTGATCCTCCGCCTAAGAGAACTGTTTGGACTTAAAACACTCGGTTAAAGGTGTAGCCAGGATGCTGAAACCTTTTATGAAATGTCGATAAATGTTTGACAGCCCATGTAAACTCCTCACGTCGAAGAACGATTGAGGAGTTGGCCACTTATAAATGGACTTAATCTTTTGCGGATCAACATGTAAAGCACCTGTAGTGATAATAAAACCCAAAAAATACACAATATTGGTAGTAAATTCACACTTGGGTAAGTTGAGATACAACTTATTGGATTGTAGAATTTCGAAAACTTGCTGTAGATGTTATAATTGGGCGGTCAAAGACGAACTGAAGATCAAGATGTTGTCGAAATAGATGATGCATGTCTTGTTTAGACATGGTTTTAGAATCTCATTAATAAGCCTCATGAAAGTTGACGTGAATTACACAGCTCAAAAGGCATAACTCGCCGCTCATATAGACCTTGATGAGTTTTGAAAGCGGTCTTCCATTCGTCGTTGGGTCGGAGACAGATTTGATGATATCCTCTACGAAGGTCAAGTTTTGAAAAGACAACTGCTCCTGAAAGTTTCTCCAACAGCTCGTCAATTTTGGGCACAAGAATTTTTAATTTGACCATAATTTTGTTGATGGCTCTACTGTCCATACACATACGCCAAGTCCCATCCTTCTTGGGTACTAATAATGCAAGAACTGCACACATATCGAGGCTTGGTTGTATTAATTGCTTCTCCAGTAAATCATCTACGAGATCTTGAAGTGTGGCATGATCTTTAGGACTCAAATGGTAGTGTGGCATATTCAGAAGTGTAGCTTCTGGTATCAAATCAATTTGGTGTTGAAGAGCTCGGGGAGGTGGTAACGTTGCTGGTAAAGTTGCGGGTGCTATATCCGCAAAACGATCAAGAAATTGTTGCACCTCGGTGGCGACTTCACTGTGATATTTTGTGGAAGCATGCTCTCTGACAAGCAATGAGGTAGACGTCTCATGACTGGATTGAAAGAGAGCTGATCCATTTGCATCACATATAGTTTGCCACTAGTTGACCCACTATTTTCAGTGACATACGTCATCAATTTGAGGCCCCTTCCTTTCCAATCAAAGGAATAAGAATTGGACCTACCATCATAGATATAACCAATATCAAACTTCCATGGACGCCCCAAGATAATATGGCACACATCCATATCAAGAATGTTACATAAAACTTCGCATACATAATGCTTACCAATAGAAAATGTGATTCGACGTATTTCAAAAACTGTGATATACATTCCTTCTTTCACCCAACTGTTTTTGTATGGACTAGGATTTTTAGTAGTCTTGAGTTATAGGGCTTGTACAACTGAACGCGCAATGACATTTTATGTGCACCTGCTGTCAAATAGTAAATGACATACTTTCCTATTGTAGTGCATCAGATTTTGAAGACAGAGTTTATTTGGAAAGTGGGCTTTTGCCAAGGCGCCAATAACATTTTTTCCATAACATAGACCAACAGTTCACCAACATCTGGCGTAACTTCTTCCACCACTGGATTTGGCTCTTTATCTTCAACTGGTTCCTCTTCCCCCTAAACTGTGGTGAGGTGTAATTGTGGCTGATTTGGATATTCATTTGATTTGTGGCCCAATTGAAAACATCGGAAGCACTTGATTGTAGAGGGCCGAGCATAAGGGTTCTCCCGCATTGGTACCTTCAGTTTCGATTGCACTCTTGTGTCTTCAAGTGGTCTCGCCGACGGCCTAGGTTGAGAATTATGAGATGAATTCATTGGAGCTTGTTGACTGGTTGTAATCTTACTAACCGGTGTAGCAGGCTTAACAATGTCAGCATTATAATCGGCATATGACCTCCTGGACGGCTGATGTTTGTACCCCCGAGACAATTGCATTTTAACCTTCAAAGCGAAATTAACTGCCTGCGATAGAGACCTAAGGTGCAACATCTGTTCATAATCCGTGGGTAGGAAATGGGAGTGAAGGAGTTGCTTCATTCGATGCCAATTACGAACCAGACCACGTCCTTTTCTCCGGCAGGTTTGTAGGAGTTGTAACCACCATGTGCTTGCTTCCCCCTTTAATTGACAAGAAACATATTTCAATTTTTTCTCCGATTTGATTTCCATATATTCAAAAAATATTTCGACCGACCTCTCCCAATCCAAGTAATCCTTAATATGCAATCGGCTATCAAAAAAAGGAATATCAAGTTTTATCCTGAACTCTCCTTGAGGTTGCGCATTTTGAGCTCCTCGGGGCCTGCGATTGAATTTAATGGGTTCAGTTTCACCTTTCGAATCAGACGATATTTCCTCATTGAAATATTCAGCATCATCTTCCTCTGGCTCCGTGATTTCGGAGGCAATCAGCACACGCCTTCTACGCCCCCGATCTACGTCCCGATTGCGCGTGTCCATCGCGACCGGATGTGCCCAGTTTGGACGGTGTCTGCCCATTTCATTCCTCAGGGTTTGAAACTGCCGGCACATATCAATAGAGAGCCTGAACAGATCTGCAGATACCTCATCCATCCGCTTATTAAGGCTGATGTGGGCTTCCCAAAGTGCGGCAAGACTGTGCTCGTCATCACAAGTCCCTCATCTACCACAGTCAGTCATTCCTCAATGCGCCTGGCTTTGATACCAAAAATCTGATGTAAGTAATCGAGAGAGGAATGATTCCAGCAAGCAACGAATAGAACATTAAAACAGTACAAGGAATGCTTAGCAACAAACAAATAGTATATTTCTTCTTTTCTGTCGAAACTCCAAAACAATACAACTATTTGTATAAAGGCTAGAGGCTAGTAAAAGCAAAGCATAACAGAAAGCTACATAGTACTAGCAACAACTAAAAGGGAAATGTAAGTAGTGGAGGGTTAACTACAAAGCAATAATAAGACTAAATCATAACTGAAAGGTATAATACTCCCTGCGGCTAAAATACTCCCTACAGCTTAAGATGTTTCGCATCAGCTGACTTCCTCAACAGAGAATGAGACAACTTTATCTTGATGGGGAATGAAGTTCACTAGAAACTCTTTGCCCAAGATGTTTTTATCAATAAGAATGGACTTCCAGTTTAAGTTTTTTGACTGGATTCATAGTTGAAAGAGGGTGCTGAACTTGAGGGAGAGCATTTCCCAGGGGATAAAAGGAGGTGAGAGCCGAAAAATCTTGATGAATGATGGAGCCTGAGAGGAGCATCTTGTGCAAAGAAACAATTGTGTGACCTTTAAACAATCTTGATTGGACAAATTGATCGAGAGGTAGGTGGAGATTTGATTTAGAGGAAGGATGAGAAAGGTGAGGTCTTACAACAAAGCTAGAGGAGAGAAAGAGAAGGTAGAGAGACACCCGGATGAGGAGAGGGATATATATATGGTTGGTAATGCTTTCCATCTTACTTCCGGCTCATGTCTTAATTCGAACCGCGTTGTTCTCCTTGCACCGGTTCGAGAACTTGATTGCTTTCCTAATCCCTAATCCGTAATCCCCAATCCCTTGAATCAAATAGAAAGGAAGTAGAAGCAGGGCAAAGTTGCCGAAATTGTGCCCAGCGATGCGGACGAAATCAGATAATCCTACACCTGGCGCCGCCGCAGCAGCCACTGCGGCTACTGCGTCGTCCGATCTTGACTCTTTCGACCCTGTTCTTCTTCTCCTCCGCTTCCTCCCCTACAGCTTCCTCCGCCCGCCGCGCACCCGCCTCCGCCTCCCCTCCTCCGTTGTTCTCCCTTCCCCGATGACCGTGTTCTCACTTCTCCTCCTCACCTACTTCGCCGTCGTCTCAGGCCTCGTATACGACGTCATCGTTGAGCCCCCTGGCATCGGTAGCACTCAGGATCCGGCCACTGGTACCGTACGGCCGATAGTCTTCCTCCCTGGCCGCGTCAATGGGCAGTACATTATCGAAGGGCTCTCTTCCGGTTTCATGTTTCTTCTCGGCGGGTTCGGCCTTATTTTTATGGATCTGGCCGTCGATCGTCATCGCGCTCGCAGTACCCGCCTCTCCTTTGCGATGTTTGGGATCTCCGCCGTGGTGATCGCGTATCTTATGACCATGCTTTTTATCCGCATTAAGATCCCAGGATACCTATGGTGAGGGGCTTTAATTTTGGGATTTATGCTTTTCTTATCATTCAAGATCTTTAATTCGGAACTGTTATTATTTTTATGTTTTGTAATCGGGAAAAAGCCGATGCATCACAGACAGTGGTGGTTTTATCTGCATCGAAGATGTAGTGATACAATCTGGATGAGGTTTTTGTTCAGTGCAGTGGTTTTATGAATTATTAGAATGGTATTTTGCGCATTTCTTTTTAAATCTGCTGTATTTGTTTGTTGGAAGATGTAGATTATTAATTATTTTCTGTGTAGGTCCGATGAATTCATTTGGCAGTTCTGAATGCAAAGTTCATCTTTTGAAATTTCTTTTTTGAGAAACTGTTAAGTAGTAGGCCAAGAAAGAAATTTATCGGCCTCCTAGATTACACTGAATAGCAATTCATATTCCATGTCTTTTCCTCTCCCTCCCTCCGTAGTCATTTGGGTATCCTTCTAGAGGATGAACCATACGGAGCTCGAAGAAGATGATCCAAAAGGAAATGATCCGGAGAAGGATGATCCACCTAAAAATGAAGACTTGAAGATGAAATGCACCGCTTTTAAGACTTGCGTTATTTAGTAGGATTAGAATCTAGGTTATTGTTGATAGGGCCTGAGCACCATTACTTTTATGCAGACCTTGGATTGTACTTATGTGGCATTTGCCATGAACTTTAGACTTTACTTTTTATGGTATATTTTTATTGATGTGTTTATTATGTTCGTGTACTAGAACTTGCACATTTCTTTTAGGTTTCTTTTTTGCATATGTGTGACCTGATTTTTGCTAGGCTCTTTAAGATAAAAATATTTTCTACTCATAATTAAAAATTTATATTTTTAGAATTAAATAACATATAAATCTAATGAGTTAGGAAACTACTAGAATCATCTAGGGTCGCATGCATACTATTGCATTCTTCTCTCTCCTTCTAATAAGATACATCCCCGCCTTCGGGTAGAGTCTAGATAATCTGGCCTATGAGGATGAAGTGCCGGACCTAGGGAGGGCCAGTCTTTTTTAAAAATTATTTTTATATAAACTTATTTTTAAAATCTTATGCATGCATGATTTGGACCTATAAACTAGCATGCATTGCATTAGAAACTAATTAATTAAAAAATTAATTATGTTAGATCTATAAGCATTCACCATATATAAGCCGGGACCAATTAGAAAACTCTCTTGACGTTGGCCCTACTTCTAAAAATTGAACTACCTATATATCTTTCATAAAGACTAGACTGCATGGATTTTACGTGCCTATGTGGTTAGCTGGCATCCCTTTTCAGGCAGGGTATAAGCCATATGAATTAACTAGGGCACAGGTGTTAGTGTTGGGTGTACACTAAACCCATCTTAAATTTAGGATTCGAGGCTACTACACCGGGTGTCTCATAGTATGCCTAAACGGTGGGCAAGTTTCTTCTCTTCATGGACTATAAATCCTACTTATCTGCATCACATATATGGCACCACTTCCATCCTTTCTTTATGTATGCTAAGAGTTTTTGAGTTTCTTTCTCTCCTCAACTACCTTAGTCCCTCTAGATGCTGAGATGAGTCGTGCATGTTGACTAAGCCCAATTGAAACTTTTTTTCCTTTTGAGTAGGATTTCTTAGTCTCCTCTTTGTGTACTAATCCCTTGTCTGGGAAGAATAATATTAGATCCTTAATCAAGAGTTTTCTCGGGCCCTAGGCTCGTGATATAATTAACCACAGGAGCATGCGCCCTTGAAAAACGAAACTCCACCTTCAAATAAACCCCACTCGAGCTGATATATCAGGTGGGGGAAATCCATTGTTACGATCATATTGTATATATTACTACCTATCAGGGTGCACTGGCAAGAGCCGCTATCCTCAATGGTTAGTCATATGCACGATCTAATCTGCCCTCCCATTAGCCTGTTTGCGAGGAGCGCAGAGGCCTGCGATCATCTCTATCCCTCGGGGTGGTGCGATCATACACCCTCTGCACTCTGTAGTCGGTGGTGTCCTTTCGGAGGTCCATAATTCACTCGGATTAAAGAGTCTCTCCAGGTGATGTGAATTAGCGACCAACTTTTAATTTTTGTTAGAAGAAAGCAACTTGAGCCTTATGTTTTGTAGCATTTGAGAAAATTGATCAACCAATTGAGCTGCTTGCCGGTTGTGACATTTGGGCAGAATAGCAACATCAACCGTGTGATTAGGTACCTTAGTGTAAACAATATGAAAAGGAGAAGTACCTGTCGATCGGTTTGACATGTTGTTGTAGGAGAACTATACTTGACTTAATAGCTCATCCCAAAGTCTGGGTTATTCTTGCACTAAACATCGCAACATGTTCCCCAAAGTGCAGTTCACTACTTCGGTGTGCCCATCCATTTGCGGGTGGTAAACGGAGCTTAAATTAACATCAATTTTGAGCCTCATCCACAATTCATGCCAAAAATGGCTAATAAATTTAACAATCATGTCAGAAATCAGACTGCATGGATTGCCATGTAAATGGACAATCTCATTAAAAAATAAGCGGGCAATGTTAAGGGCGTCGAATGTTTTTTTGCAAACATTAAAGTGTGCCATTTTAGAAAATCTATCTAATACCACAATGATGAAATAATTACCTCACTTTGTCTTAGGAAGCCCGAGGACAAAATTAAGACTAAGATCTTCCCAAATCATCTTTCAACACTTTTATAAGCTTGGCACACCAGGCACCATTCGATAAAGCGAGCAACACTCTTCACAATTGCGGCAAAAAAAATGTAACTGTAGCTGCTCGAGTGTATTCTCTCGGCCCACATAGGCGGTAAGGTCTCCGCAATGGATTTCTTGAATAATCTACTGATGCCATGATGAATCTAGAATATAAAGAGCATTTTGTTTAAATAAATATCCATGTCAAATGGAGTATTGCCCCACAGAATTTTTTCCAAGCATTCAGCCCACATTTTTTAGAAGTCTTTGTCGAACTCATAGAGGTCCTGAAGGCATTGGAGGCCTGTAATTTCTATATTAAGTTGAGTTAGGAGATTAAACTTCTTGCTCAGGGCATCGGCGACTCTGTTTCTGATCCAGACTTATGTTTGAGAATGAAAGTAAATCTTTGTAAGAATAAGATCCATCATGTGTACATTCTGTTGAGTGTTTTTTTATTGTTGATATACTACAATGCCTTATAATCACTGTGTAAAATAAAATTTTAATGCAAGAGATAGTGCTCCTATTGCTTGAAGGCACGCACAACGTCATACAACTCTTGATCATAAACACTCCATTTATGGCGAGCGAGGCAGAGCTTTTCACTAAAATACTCTATAGGTCTATTTTGCTGCATCAAGACGGTGCCAATCCCAGTTGCGGAGGCATCTGTTTTAATAGTGAATGGTTTTTTTAAAGTTTGGAAGTGCAAGTACTGGGGCCAAAGAAAGTGCAGCCTTGACAGCTTTGAAACTGGTATGTTGATCCTCTGCCTAAGAGAACTGTTTGGACTTCAAACACTCAGTTAAAGGTGTAGCCAGGATGCTGAAATCTTTTATGAAATGTCGATAAATATTTGCCAGCCCATGTAAACTCCTTACGTCGAAGAACGATTGAGGAGTTGGCCACTCAGAAATGGACTTAATCTTTTGCGGATCAACATGTACACCACATGTAGTGATAATAAAACCCAAAAAATACACAATATTGGTAGTAAATTCACACTTGGGTAAGTTGAGATACAACTTATTGGATTTTTGAATTTAAAAAACTTGATGTAGATGTTGTAATTGAGCGGTCAAAGACGAACTGAAGATCAAGATGTTGTTGAAATAGATGATGCATGTCTTGTTTAGACATGGTTTTAGAATCTCATTCATAAGCCTCATGAAAGTTGACGGGGAATTACACAGCTCAAAAGGCATAACTCGCCGCTCATATAGACCTTGATGAGTTTTGAAAGCGATCTTCCATTCGTCACCGGGTCGGAGACGGATTTGATGATATCCGCTACGAAGGTCATGTTTTGAAAAGACAACCGCTCTTGAAAGTTTCTCCAACAGCCCGTCAATTCTGGGCACAAGAAACTTTAATTTGACCATAATTTTGTTGATGGCTCTGCTGTTCATACACATACGCCAAGTCCCATCCTTGTTGGGTATTAATAATGCAGAAACTGCACACATACCGAGGCTTGGTTATATTAATTTCTTCTCCAGTAAATCATCTACGAGCTCTTGAAGTGTGGCATGATCTTTAGGACTCAAATGGTAGTGTGGCATATTCAAAAGTGTAGCTTCTGGTATCAAATCAATTTGGTGTTGAAGAGCTCAGAGAGGTGGTAACATTGCTGGTAAAGTTGCGGGTGCTATATCCGCAAAACAATCAAGCAATTGTTGCACCTCGGTGGCGACTTCACTGTGATATTTTGTGGAAGCATGCTCTCTGACAAGCAATGAGGTTGACGTCTCATGACTGGATTGAATGAGAGCTAATCCATTTGCAACACATATAGTTTGCCATTAGTTGACCCACTATTTTCAGTGACATACATCATCAATTTGAGGCCCCTTCCTTTCCAATCAAAGGAATATGATTTGGACCTACCATCATAGATATAACCAACATCAAACTGCCATGGACGCCCCAAGATAATATGGCACACATCCATATCAAGAATGTTACATAAAACTTTGCATACATAATGCTTACCAATAGAAAATGTGATTCGACACATTTCAAAAACTTTGATATACGTTCCTTCTTTCACCCAACTGATTTTGTATGGACTAGGATTTGTAGTCTTGAGTTATAGGGCTTGTACAACTGAACGCGCAATGACATTTTATGTGCACCTACTGTCAATTAGTAAATGACATACTTTCTCGTTGATAGTGCATCAGATTTTGAAGACAGAGTTTCTTTGGAAAGTGGGCTTTTGCCAAGGTGCCAATAACATTTTTTCCATAACATAAACCAACGGTTCACCAACATCCGACGTAACTTCTTCCACCACTGGATTTGGCTCTTTATCTTCAACTGGTTCCTCTTCCCCCTAAACTGCGGTGAGGTGTAATTATGGCTGATTTGGATATTCATTTGATTTGTGGCCCAATTGAAAACAGCGAAAGCATTTGATTGTAGAGGGCCGAGCATAAGGGTTCTCCCGCATTGGTACCTGCAGTTTCGGTTAAACTATTGTGTCTTCAAGTGGTCTCGTCGAC